TTAAAATATTTTACTTATAATAAAAAAAATTATTATTAAATTATTTAATTTGTTAGCTCCATCGTTTAATATTGCAATCGTGTGGTATCATTAATTTTATTTTTAGGGCAGATATCCGCTGTAGTTATTATATTTCTACCATGGAGTATTTAAATTAGCTTTCCTACGAATCATGTAAAATCATCTGGATAAGTTTCCTTTTGACCGTTGAGAAAAAAAAAAAACCCCTTTCCTTTTTATGGGTTTGTTTATGTTGGTATGATGATTATTTCTAAATCTTATTATCCACCAAAACCTTTGTATTTCATAAAAAATGAAAATAAATAAAATTTAATTTTTTTTTTTAAAAATAAAAATGAAAATAGAGTGCCGTTAAAATAAAATATGGTGTTAAAACAATTCGGGTAATCTATCCGAAGGAATTCATCAAGATCTTGAATGGTTCCAGACTAAAGGATGTTTAGACTATCTATTTAAATAAAGGTAATAATAGTTGACACGTAATAACTAGATTATTGGTAAAAAATGTAAGTCAACTTAGTTCTCATAAAAAACTTACTCCTAAGTTCAAAAACATTATTCTCTAATGAATAATTTTAAAAACTAATTGTTATATTTAATGTTTCATTGATATAGATATAGATAATCTCATGTCAATTTCAAGTTAATCTAGCATCTATACTCGATTAAAAAATTTATATTTTTTAAAATACATTTAACAATAGTAAATTTTTTATAATTAATGAGCTAATTATATATATTCAATCGATTTAACAATTGGTTTTTAAAATTTATATTTTTTAAAATACATTTAACAATAGTAAATTTTTTACTAACGACTTAAATAGTTCAGTAGTAATCTTATTTTTTTCATTAAAAGTAAGAGATCCTGAATTTAAGTCACATCACATCACATGTAGGTGGGGTGGAATAAAGAATGAAAGATAATTATCTCTCATTGTACAAACAAGATAAAAAAAAAAAAAACAATTGGTTTTTGAAATTACATTGGAAGGTAATATTTTGAAAGTTGAGATTTTAATTATTTTTGAAAGTCAAAACTTAAATTCACTATTTTTCTAATTATTATTTATAATCCAAATACTTTTATCTATTCAATTAGAACAACAATTATATATTTTCTAAATTCTAACCACTAAAATAGACATGGCTGTCCCTCTAATCCTTACAAAATTATTAAATAGTACCAAAAATAAGAAGTTTGAATACGAATTATTAGGAGTCAAGGTTGTAGATACATGGTTGGCTAAAAGTAGCTTTCCTCTGTTTTATTCGATCTCCTCATTTTCTTATGTCAACTTCTTCAATTTTCTCATTGATCACGAACAAATTTTTCTTTAAAATGAGTAAGAGCCCCTTGATTGCACAGCCATGGTTAGTTAGCTGGTTACCAAGACATTAACTAACTTTGGCAAATCATCATATGAAACAAGAATATCGATTCATGCTTTAATATACACTAAACACTCTAATAGCATGCAGTTGGGAGTTGAAGCACACTCAATACGCCTTTTGACCAACCAATTTCAATTCCAACGTCCTTTTCAGAATACAGCTAATTTGCCTATTTATTAGGCTTAGTTTTGAAGATTGCCTCTACTTGAATAAGCTTCAAAAAAGCTAGGTTTCATATGTAAAAGTTTCAGTGTAAAGTAAGTGATTAGGTTATCTGTTAGGGTAAAATTTAAGGGAATTGAAATTATTGATGCATGATCTTTTCACCATTTTTCTCTTTTAGCATTTTTAACACGCGTTTTTTTTTTTTTTTATCTTAAATTGTAAAATAAAAAATAATTTTTTTTATCTCTTAATTCATTTTACTTGCATGTCATAGTCTGTTTTCTCTTATCATTGATTTATCTTTATATGTATTTAAGTCTACACCTATATATAGTTGTAAGTTTTTTGCCTATGAGATAATGTTTTTTATTTTTATTCATAGAAAATGGTTGCAGATGATAAGTAAATTTCTTATTTAAAAGTTTCATTGTAAAATATGCTATTAGGTTATATATTACGGAATAACTTTAAGGAAATTAAATTATTGACTTATGATCTTTTCACCATTTTCCTTTTTAGTATTTTTAACATGTGGTCTGTATGATTTTATTATTTACTTATTTTTGTATGTATATATAAGTATACTCCTGTATTGTTATAAGTTTTTATTTATAAGATAATGCCTTTTATTTTTATTCATGTATATGGTTGCTGATCATAAACAAACTTTAGACA